GAGGAGGAGGAGGAACTGACTTGTGAGAGGTAGAAGAGGGAGTATTCGAGCATTCCTGTCACCTCCTTCTCCATCTGGACAACCTAGCCCAGCAGTCGATCAGCTGCATGAGGAGGAAGGGAAGGGCGGGGGTAGGGAGGGAGGGTCTCACTTCAGGAGGTGGGAGGATCAGGTTGGCGTCATCCTCACACCAGCAGTTCAAGATAGTGATGCTGCCGAAGGCTCTCGGGGACTGCTGAGAGAGTGAGAGCAGAGCAGAGCAGAGCAGAGCAGAGCAGAGCAGAGAAAGTCGAGGGAGGGGAGGAAACGGGGAGAGGGAGGGGAGGAAAAGGAGGGAGGGAGGGGAGGAAGGCTACGGTTGGACTACCTGGCGGTCGTTGGATGAGGGGGCAGCGCATAAGATGTTGTTGAGACAGAAGTGACGATTCTTCCAGACAAACGTCTGAATGAAGGAGGAGAAAAGTGAGAGACGATGTGAATGAAGAGGAGGAAGAGGAGAGAAGGCGGAGGGAGGGAGGAAGGGATGACGAGATAGCTTGACAGGGAAGTGCTGGTGTACGAGGAGCGGGCGGGAACAGGAAGGAGGAGAGGGATGCATGGGAAGGGAAGGGGACAAGGCGGTAGGAGGAGGAGGAGAGAGAAAAGGTGGTGGAGGAGGAGCAAGAGGAGGAGGAGGAGGGGCAAGGAGTAGGTGGAGGACCTGTCGGACAACGCGGATGGGAAGTCTATCGGGGTCCTGGTGGGACAGGAGCTCGAGGTAGCTCCTGCGATCGATGTTGCACTTGACGTCCATAGTCTCCCCCCTCTCATTGACGCTCCTCTTGATGTGTGTGTAGAGCACGCCTCCGTCCGCCACCCTCCTCCTCAGCCGATGCTGCTTCCCGTCCGTGCTCACGAGGTACGTGTAGTCGCAGTCCGAGGTAGTCACGTCTAGCCCACTCTGCCGCAAGTTTGCCGAGGAAACAAGAAACTTTCTCCTCCTCAGCGTCCAGTTGGGCGCCTGCTCGCCGACGATGCCGCAGATGGCGGCGACTGCCCTCTTGACCTTGTTGTTGAAGTCGGTGGAGTTGTCGATGAAGGTGAGCCAGGGGTGCGAGCGCCATGCTGAGTGAGTCTTCTTGTCGAGATGCCGCGCCTGGTCCGCCGTTTCCGTCCTGACCCCTTCGGTGTTGCTCTCCTGCGGAGGATGAGGAGGGGGAGAGGTCAGAGGAAGCGAGCATCGTCATCACCAAGAGCTGGGAGTACAGGAGCACAAGAACAAGCACGAGCGAGCGAGCGAGCGACGGAGCGACGGAGCGACGGAGCGGGGAGGAGGAGGAGGAGGAGGAGGAGGAGGAGGAGGAGGAGGAGGAGGAGCAGCAGCAGCAGCAGCAGCAGCAGCAGCAGAAATTGTTGACATCTTCTCACCAAGTTGTAATGTTCTTCTGCTCCATCAGCTGCTGTAACCAAGTGCAAGACCCCATCATACCTGCCAAGCATTGATCATCACATGAATCACGAGACCATCGAACATGTCCCGTCATAAAAGCTTCCATCACCATCACAAGCACCAACGGCAGCAGCAGCATAATCTTTTTCTATCCTTCTCCTCCTCCTCCTCCTCCTCCTCCTCCTTCACCTCGCATCGCACGCGCTCGAGTGATCCAACCCGACGCTCTCCATCACCCTCATCCATGTGGCATGATCGCAGTAGACAGACGCGTCCATGATACCTCGGTCGCACACAACCATACACTTCTCCCCCTGATCGCTCGCCATGCAGATGGCCTCGTACGAGCTTTCCAGCGTCATCATATTCCTCACAATCGCGAGCTGCACCTCAAAGATCTGCTCCGAGTTGAGGTTGGCAAAGTTGACTCCTCCTCCTAGCACGATCGATGCTGACTCCTTAGCCACGTACACTCGCCATCCCAGCCCTCTGAAGTAGTCGGCGATGCTGGTCAGCGAGCTTGTCTTCCCAGCACACGGCCCTCCTGTTAGCGCAACCTTGTACACCTTTCGCTGCTTCCCCACGACCTCGTGCGTCACAGGACGGGGTCCTGCGACAGATGGGTGGACGACCACCCCTCCTTCTTCCTGGTCCTTGCCGGGTGAGCCACCGGGCTCTGGCACTCCTTGAGGGCTGTTGTGAGGCAGTCCTCTGCAACACTAGCGCACTGCAGCTGCGGTTCCATGTCGAGCTTGGAGCGCGAGTAGACGGTGAAGGGGAGAGGAGGAAACGATACTTCCTTCTCTGCTCGAGCGGCAAGTGACATGATGCGGCTGTAGATGACTCTGCTCTCGATCCAGGCCTCTCCCTCCATCACCCTCGCCGTCCCCACCGCCACGTCTCCTGCCACCAGCGCCTCCGCCTTGCACATGAGGTCAACCAGCCCTGGAGTGGCGAAGATCTGCCAGCTGGGCAGCAAGTCCAGCACCCTGACCCGCATGGCGTCGGACTTGGCGTTCTTGATGTACTTCTTGACGATCTTGGCGATGACTGCAGGGAGGTGAGAAGGAGGAAGCAAGCAGATCGATCAGCTCACCGACGTAGTTGAGGATCACAAACTCCTGCAGCCTGTCAAGGGTAGCATAGAAGTTGGCGATCTCGTCGAGCGAGGCAGGAGAAGCATCGGGCAGCTCGACCGTCCCCTTGTACCTCGCCATGGCGTCCAGCGTCTTGGGGCCGTAGAGGCCGTTGGGAAGGAAGTCAGTCAGGAGCCCCTCGTCAATCAGGACCTCCTGCAGCCGCTTCACTTTGTCCATCTCCCACGTTATGCTTGACATCTGTTCCTCTACCCTCTTCATCTGGACCTGGTAGAAGTTGTTGGCCTTCCCGATCTCCTGCTCCAGGGCCAGCCAGAACGCCTCTTCCGCATCCTCCTGGCCCCTCTGCACAAACCGTAGGTTCGCCACCCGGTCCCGGTCTCCCATGATCAACCCTACTCTCTTGACGAGAGGCTTGAGATGGTGGTACATGATATATCCCTCTGCCCAATCAGCAAAGACAAGATCTTTGAACATCTCTCCAAACCTCACCATTCTGACCTCCTGCAATCGTGTTCGAACTTGTACTACTCGCGATGATGTGTCACCCTCAAGAGAAACCTGTCAAAATTCTGTATCCACGGAGACCCGCTGTGTGAAATACACTTGGGGTTGTATTTTCTTCTCTTCTCTGCGTGACAAGCTGAAAGATAATGATCACAGGCTATATTCCATCGACCTGCGATGTTGATTCAGTATCAATCCGCTCAATTCATCGACATTCTCGCTCTCGTTCATATTCATCATGGGGTTTCTTCGAAATGCACGAGTTTGATCTACTTTCTTGCAGTATATGTCATCTTCGTTCTACCATCTCTGCCATGTTCTCAACTATCTCCTCAACCTCATCTCTCCTTCGTGCTGCTGCTGCTCCTCCTCCTCCTCCTCCTCCTCCTCCTCCTTGCAGCCTTCATGATTCACAGTGCCATTGCGTAGCTTCCTGACTATACAACACCACCCCTAGTCAGATTGCACCCCATTTTGCTACATACCCCACCCCGTAAGAACGCTCAAGTCACTACCTACCCCATACCCGAGTACCCCCACCCTTTTCACAATATACCACCCCCGATACCATTTACATCTCATAATATCTTCACCTACCCTACATGTGATGGTACCCCACCATCACCTTGGCACACGTGCGGAAACATACAATAGATGACCCCACCCAGGTATACATCGTATGTACCCTACCCTCGCAACAAACAGGTACCTAGTGCTTTTTGTTCCATTCCTACCCCACCCGCTTGTTATGATAAATTACAGTATATAACCCCCCTTCTTCCTTTCAAAAGTACCGGTACTTGTATTATCCCTACCTACCCTTGTTAGAAGGACCACCAACCCATAATCATCTTACAGTTCTAAAATAAAAAAAAAAGACAGTAGTAAGTACCGTAAGTCAAGTTCACACCGCCGGGCCCCCGGACCGGGCCGGCCCGCGGGCCCGGCGGGCCGCCGGCGGGCCGGAGTAACTCACGGTGAGTCAGTCGAGTCCCGGAGTCCGACGGTACGGTCCCGGGTCACCGTGTCCAACCGCAGGGCCGGGCCGGCGCCGGCCGCTCCGACGGCGGCCGTGACCGGCCGGGCGGCCCCGGGCCGGGTCGCCCCCGGGCGGCCGCCCGGCGACCGGCGGCGGGCCGCCGTCGGAGTCGTAACTGCACTGCAACTTCAAGTAGCAACTTAAAGCCACTGCCACGGTGCTGGCCGCCACAGCCGTTCAACGGTTCAAGCGGCAAGCCTGGAGGACTTAAGCCGGGCCCGGCCGCAGGGGCCTGGCCCGCCACCGGCGGGCGGGCCGGGGCGGCCGTGAGCCTGGGAGGCGGGCCTTGGCATCACAGAGTCACGGTACACGAAGTTGCCGGGCCGCCCGGTGCTCACCCCGGCCCCCCGCCGCTGTGTCGAACGATCCGCCGGGCCGGGCCGCGCGGTCCGATCACACGGAGCCACGGTGGCCGCAACCGTTCAATCGGCCGGGCCCCCCGGAGTCCGAATTTGCCAAATTTGCGGCGGCGGCCGGCGGCGGCCGCCCGGCCCGCCGCCGCCCCGGCCCGGGCCCCGGGCAGTGATCGGACTCGCAGCCCGGCTGAGTCACTGTCCGGGCCGACAGACCGTACCGAGTCGGCGGCGGGGCCGGCATGGGGCCGGACTCGGCCCGGCCCGTGACAGTCCGGGCCGGGTCGGGCCGCCGAACTTCCGTTGAAGAACTTCCGAGTTGTGGCCGCGTCGGCGAAGTCCGAACGCGCGGGGGTGAATTTTTTTCAAATGCCCTTGGTCATGACTGTGTGATTGAATGGTACTGGGCCCGCATACCGCCGCCAGTACCGGTACTTTTTCTTATGAATTGCAGTGGATGTATAGGGTAGGTAGACATTTGACTGTGAGCCCACCGGTGGTAGGGCAAGCGGGGGCGAATAGTTTTCGCCCTTCACGAGCAGCAGCTAGTCCCGTTCTCCTCTCCTGCGGACCTGCAGCCATTCTCACTCCTTCCTCTTCCTCTCCTCACATCGCTTCTTTGTGTCCCTGCTGCCCTCGAACTCCTCGACGCTGAGCGAACATGGAAGGCAACAGAAAACCTGGTGTGATTGGGGGTCCGATGTTCAATCGAAGGGAAGTGGTTCAAAATGCAGGAGAGCATGTCTACCGGGTTGAAATGATTTGTTCTGTTGTCGATTTGAGCTCTTTTTACACTTTGGTGGTTGTTGATGCTGATCTTTGCTCTGTTGAATTGACAAACTGTAGAACTTTTTGTTCGTTCGATCTACAAACTAGCATGAACAGTCAGCGTAGATTACCGATTGCAGTAGAAAGGCGAGAACAGATCACTTACGAGTGCAGACAGCAAAGACTCTCCTTTATCGATGAGAGCTTTCTTTCTTTTTTCCGCACTAGAGCACTTGGGTCATTAATGACAACACAGAAGAGCAGTACCAAAGTTGTAGGCGTTGACGAAGCTACTCGTAGAACAGTGAACAGATGATACAACGTCTAAGAGGGTTGAGGTGATTAGGAGAGACTTTGGTGTGCAGAGCAAGAGCTCTACATGTCGCAGAGCAAAATGATGAAGTTTGCGTGATCAAACCTGAACACCTTGTCTGTTTGGAGCTGCTGTTGTGATTTAACAAGTCTCGAAATAGTAGTGTACGTGCGTGTGTGCGTGTGTAGGGGGTATGAGATGAAGTAGATGTATTCTGGATGTAATGAAGAAGCTGTGAAGCTATCTCCCTTTCATCTCTGCATTTCCTCAAGGATGCCGTGTGGTGCATTTACATGTATTTGTCTGATTGCATAATGAGAATCGGAGGGTGCGAGGCGGTCCCGGTATCTTCGTGCTGCATCCTCTGTCTCATGGCAGGCCTGGAAGTCACATGCAGATCACAGCAGCAGCGGGTCAGCGATCGCATCATGCACAGCGACGTCAGGCGATCTCGCTCAACGCGATCAGAGCGTGATGGAAGGCTGCATGGGCTGATGGAGGAGGGAGAGGGAGGAGAGAGAAGGGAGAGGACGAGGTGAGCAAGAAGGGATTTTGCATTAGGCTGATAGAAGAAGAGCGAAAAAGCGAGCGAGCGCGAAAGTGAAGTTGAAAGACAAAGGAGGAAATCGACATTTCCTGTGTGTGAAAGAGAGACAGAAAGATGCATGCGATAATGAGATTTACTCTCACAAAGAAACATCTTTTACAAGATCACGTGTTGTGCGCTTCTCTGAATCCTCCCCTTTCAGCCTGCTCTTCATTTCACCCCTCCCTCTTACCCTCACTCTTCCACGTTGTCTCTCGGGCTTCTTGCTCCCCGCGTCCCTCATCAGAGTAGACATGTGGCCTCGTGCTCGTATTGCTTGCCATGCACATCCTGCGAGAGGGAAGAGAGCGGAGCGATCGAGAAGAGCTTGTTGCCGCATGAAGATGAAAGCATGAAGCAGAGACGGACTAGAAGTGTAGGAAGGAGACAAGCATGCGTGGTCACGAGAGGACGGAGGCAGAGATGACCGAAGGTGACGAGGGTCAGTCTTAAGATGTGTGTGAGAGAGGAGAGAGTACATTCATGCCCCAGCTCTGTCTGTCTGTCTGCCTGCCTGCCTGTCTGCCTGCCTGCCTGCCTGCCTGCCTGCCTGTCTGTCTGTCTGCCTGCCTGCCTGCCTGTCTGTCTGCCTGCCTGCCTGCCTGTCTGTCTGCCTGCCTGCCTGCCTGCCTGCCTGCCTGCCTGTCTGCCTGTCTGCCTGTCTGTCTGCCTGCCTGCCTGTCTGTCTGTCTGTCTCTCACTCTCACGTGCGTCCTGTGCGCTGCTCTGAGCCACGGACGAGCGCTTTCCTGAGGGGAAGGAAGACTGTGGGCGGGAGCGATGGGAGGAAGCAGGAGAGTAGAACGACGTCAGAGCCGACGGCAAGGGGAGGAAGGGATCTGCAGGTAGATCAGAGACCAAGCCTTCAGTGATCAAGAAACACGCAGGGGGAGGGGGCAGAGTGATGGAGGAGGCAGG